GGATCCCGAACAACACCTTTTAACGGAGTCCATGGGGATCCTCAACCAATGCATGGGGGATCTTTCATGTCAAACCTTTGCAAAAACAACAGAGTCCATTGGATCCCTTTTCACCGTGCAAAATGGCTGAGTCCCTCAACCGTAGCAGCTGACTGGAGTCCTCAAATCTATTCAAAGCTGCAGCTATTGGTTTGCAGGGGTTCTGGGATGCACACAGAAAGTGCATCGCATCAACACCAATCAATGGTCAACCTAAGAGGGTCACGTCGTTGAGGTCTCGTCACTCATTCCCAGACGCTCCATGTATGCCATATATGCCTACATTGGGGTGGTTTGGGGGGTCAATGTAGGCATATATGGCATACATGGAGTGTGTGGGATTTATATAGGTCGGTCTATATAGTCTATATTATATACGTCGTCTATAGTCGAGAGTCAATGGTGGGTCTCGGAGGTTTGTCTTTAAACCTCTACGACAGGGACGATAACCAATCCACTGACGAATATATCTTGGAGCCCATGAGTTGAACCTCCCAAGCAGATTCTGTGTTGGTTTCCGGTATCCTTTCACGCGAAAAACACACCACATCTCGCGGATCTTCACGCAGACACCGAGCTCACCGGGAGCCCGGCCGGTGTGCACGGCGCCCTTTGCAGGTCTGTTTTCCTGCCTGGATGAGAGCTGTGCCAAGGCGTGTTCCGGGTGCCGCAGTCGACTGCATGAAGACACCACTGCAGTTGACACCTCTGTGGGACTGCCATAGGACTGCCGAGAAAGGGCCAGGGGCGGTTGATTTGGGGGTCTGTCTGGGGCGGCAGTCCTATGGCAGCCCCAAACAGGTCGTGTCTGGGATTGACACCTTGCAAATGGATTGACACCCTACAGGTCAATGACCTCATTTGACTGGACGTGGTCATGTAAAAGACCCGGTTAGACCTGGGTTCGACTGGACGAAAGTAAGGATAGCTTCAAGGGACCGATGCGCAAGTGATGCCTGGCCTTTCAGCGGGGAGAATGAATTCACCACACGCAATGTGTGTTAACCCCGCAACATCGGGAACCGGCTGAATGCTGAATGCTTCTTGATCACGGACATGGACTTGTGCGGACGCAGAAGGTTGGTTTTAGAACGTTTTAGAAGGAGGGGTACTTTCTCATCCTTTTTTTTGGTGAAACATGGTCAAAGACTTTCCTCTTGAAGTTCATGAAGCAAGCCGCTTGCCCAGTGTGAAAAGTCCGAGAGATCTTCAATTTGCTGCCCTGTTGCACCAGCTGAAGTGGAAGAAAGATGATGTCAACCCTGCTGCCCCAGAAATGCAAGTGTTTCCGCTTCTGTCGGCTTGTGACGAACACGAACTTCTTTGAAAACCACACCTTGCTCGCTCACTGCCCCGGCTGTCCGTCAGACAGTGCGTTGGGACGACCATGTCCTGAAGACAACAGTCTCAGACCATCCGTGGGACTGGCCGATGTGGTCGTTGGAGGGTTCGGTGGGGTGGCATGCATTCCAAACCAGTCCCATGGATGGTTTGGGAATGAGGTGTTTCTTCCCTTTTTGCCCAAAGACTCAGGAAGAGGTGGAGCTGCAGTTTCAGGCTCTTCTTCACCTACCTAAGCTGACTAAACCATCCGCTCCGCAGCCCATCTTTCACGAAACATCGCTTTCAAAAGCCTCCAGACTTCGGCTGGGGCGCCGCAGAATCGGCCATGAAGAGGAAGCTGCTGTTCGGTCCGACTCCTCCTGCCCATCGGCCCCGGCAAGCGTGGAAGATCCAAGCGCGGCAGCTGAATGGGCGAGTCCATGAAGTGGAACTGCTGCCGGACGGCACGAGTCCACGCGCCATCGCGCCGAGGGGATGGAAGCGAAAGGCAGGTTCCACGAGGTCCTAGCTAGGGAGGTCAGTTTGGAGAAGGTTTACGTCGACGTGGGGCGCCCTTCAACATGTTCGTGTCTTTTGGTTGTGTTGGTTTTCGGTTGTTTTTGGTTCGCAGTAGACCGATGGAGAGGCCAGTGGACAGTTCTGGGACGATAGGAGCCAGGTGTAGCTATTAATCAACTTCCCCATCTCCTCCTTTCCGGTTTGCTAATCTTCATTCACGGTCTTGTCAGCTTTCTTTAAGAAGGATGACCTAAGACTGGCCCTGATTTGGAAAGCTTAGTTGAACTTTGCATCGCAATCTCGAGCAATTTACACCCTTTTGTCCCAATTGATGCACCCTGGTAAGACAGCTACGTAGCCAAAGGACCACATGCTATGTAACCCCTGCGTGTTCTCTCTTCCACATCTGCAGGACACCCCTGTGCGCGAGTTGAAAGAGCTTCTGAGGGATGTGAGTGTCCCCAAGGAAGGGTCCGCGCAGAAATTGGTACTGGTGGACTTAATCTTTGCGATGGAACCATTGAGCGACGATCACAAGACACTGCTTGAAGCAGGTCTTTCGAATGGTGCAGAGGTGGGGGTGACATGCCAGACAGAGACCGAGGACCGAGAAGCCATTTCTAGCTACTTCTGTCTCTTTCGTGTTGGAACTCAGGGTTCAGGACGGTGGCAATGGTGGTGTTCTGAAGATGTTGTGAACACGAAAATCACAGATTCGGAAGGTCATTGACGGACATTTACCCTATTTAATACACTTTGTGACTATGGCACGGCTGCTGTGTTCTCAGGTGCAGGTCCTGCTCCGGACCATCGAGCCGGTGGAATGTTATGATGGCTTTGAGTATGATGACGATGGCTTTCGCTCTGCTCCTGCTTCAGATTTGCTCTTCGTGAAGATCCCGAGCGACGTCGAAGAGTTGGAGGAAGACGGTTACGGCTTTAGTTTTGCAGGTTGTCGCAATTTGGTGAAAGTCCACCTTCCCGACACGGTGACCCGCATTGACAAGTGTGTCTTTGAAGACTGCATCTCACTGACTGAGATCATGATCCCGCACTCTGTGACTCTCATCGATCGTGAAGCCTTCCGTGACTGCAGCTCGCTGAAGACGTTGACAATTCCGGACTCCGTCACTCGCATTGGTTATCGAGCCTTTCGTGACTGCAAGTCCTTGAAAAAGATGACGATCCCCAAGGCAGTGAGTGAAATTGAAGAAGAGGCCTTCCAAGACTGCAGTTCCCTCGTTGAGTTGAGGATGAACTCGATCGCTTGCATCGGAGTTCATGCCTTTGCAGGATGCAGTTCATTGCGAACCTTGACGATTCCCGGTTCCAGTGGTGCGGTTCGCATGGAAGAGGGTGCCTTCGAAAGCTGCAGCGCGTTGATGGAGTTGACGCTGAACAATGCGGTGACTGAGATTGGACGCTTTGCTTTCAGTGGCTGCAGCGCATTGAGAGAAGTGAGGCTTCCCAACTCTGTGATTTTAGTTGGGGCTCGTGCATTCAGAGGCTGCAGCTCATTGCGAAGAGTTGTACTGCCAGATTCGATCAAGTATCTCAATGAGGGTGTCTTTCAGGACTGTATTTCACTGGCTGAAGTGACAATTCCGAACTCGGTGACTCATATTGGAGTCAGTGCCTTTGAGAACTGCAGCTCTTTGGCAGAGCTAATGATCCCCAACTCTGTGGTTATCATTGCAGCTCGTGCCTTCAAAGGCTGCCACTCCGTGCGAGAAGTGTTCATCCCCACATCCGTCACTCTTGGCCTGGATATCGATGCATTTCCGGAGTCTGCCACATTGAGTTTCACCTTGTAAGCCTCCTCCTGGTGCCTTTATGATCGATGCCAAAAGCCTCTCAATCGATGCGACAGCTGGGTTATTGTGGGGGTGGTAGAAACATGTAGAAACCACCAGTGGCCTTAGAATGGAGAGACGTGGCCTTGAAAAAACCTACGTCGACGTCTCTCCATGGGCTGCAGTGGAGACCGGATGACACCTGGTTTTTTGACCATGAAATCCGAAGACCAAACAGGAGGTGAAGTCCGTCTACCTCCTGGTTTTGCCTAGTTACGGTGATGCTTCTTTTTCCCCGTTTCCGGGTCAATCCCGGATATCCTGTGGAATAAGTTATTGTTTGTTTTCCAGGTTCCTTAAGCAAAACCCAGACTTTCATGCGTCCTTTTTCCAGGGAGGGTACTTGCAGACTAGCAGACTCACTGGCTTGGCATCCACGGAGCTGTTGCTCCTTGCGACCTGGCTCCAGCGGCTGGACGGTCTAACCCTTTGGAAAGAGCCGTAAAGCTGGGTGTTGGTCACAAGAAGCTACTAGTAAGCAACAATGGCATCACTACGAATTAGTAGCTTCTTGTGACTGGTAGTTGTTTGCCCTTGTTACGAACGTAGCGACATGTTTTCTTGTTGTAGATCATTGTCCGTACAAGTTCGAGGTGAGCCATGAACTTGGAGCTGCGCCGTGCCAGTGACACTGTGACACCAATGAACGCCACTAGTCACATATAAAAAATAAACATAATCTTAAACCTGAGGTAGTTGACAGACCTTTCTTTTCCTGTCACTGTATCCATTGATTTTATTGCTATACAGTGGCTATACATTGCTATAGTGATCGTTCTCCCCAGCGCATACACCCATTCAAGTCTTTTGCAGTAGTCATACCCTGCGGATCACAGATTTCTGCGGCAAACATCTGAACAACCATCCATGAGAGCATGGTGAACACCATAATCGATCCATCATAGATCCATATAATATATATATATATATGCCTTCAATGTTTTCAATGGAATGGTGCTAGCTTTCTCGGATCAAGTCCATGAGCCTTAGGCCGGTGACCACAGGAGTGTCAGCCGGATCATCGCTCGCCCTTGCCCTCAAGCTATTGGATTGGGATCATAGAGATCTTCTGTCGCTGTACCGCCAAGCACCTGCACCCTCAGATTTCCACGCTGGTTCATTTTTGTTAGGACTGTTCTGCGGTTTGGTTCTTTACTTTTGCATCGAGTGGCTGGTGACGTTGCGTTGGGCTGTGATTGAGTGGGTCCACTCAGTGACTGCTGGCTCGGGTCAAGTTCGGCGGAAGGAGCTGTATAAGCTCCTTTGATGGGCAAGAGGCTGTCTGACCTCGAGGCTGAGGTCAGCGAGCTACGTGAGGCAGTTGACAAGCTCTCGTTGACTGTCACTCGACTGAGACGAGAGGTGGCTGAGCAGCGAGGTAGGCGCAGCTCAGAAAGCGATCGGGGAGAAGAGGACCGCCTGTCTGACGAGTCCTATTCGGTCGTGGGCGCTAGGCAAGCACACCTGAGCGGATCCCCTGGTGGCCTTCGTGGTTATCCTAGTTCCCCACCAGATTGCTCGCAGCAAAAGTCAGGTGGGCCTTCGACCTCAGCTCTGCCGGCGGCTCGGGACCTCAGCTGGGCACAACGCGAAGAGATCGCGGCTGGCATTGGCAGGTTCTTCACCCGCTGCCTGACTGGCAGCCACCGTGGTTCCAGCGGGAGGGACAAGATTCCTCTTGCCTGTCGGCTTTGGGTGGTTGTTCGAGATTATCACGGTCAGGTTCATTCCCCTGTTCGAGTGTTTAAGACTTGGACTTCGTGCAAGGGCTGGGTCAAGCAGCACGAGGACGTTGGTGATTCCATTTTTTGTGGGTTCCCTTCAGCCAGGGAAGCAAAGGTGGCCATTGCTGCAGCTGAGCTGCAGTGGCCTGTGAACTTTGATCAGTGATGGAAGGGGTGCTGCCTGCAGAGGGCAGCGCTCCGCCTCCCTTCTTGTTGACAGACGGGAGGCTTGTGGCAAGTGAAGAAGTTGTGGTTCAGCTCTACTTTGACGACCTTGAGGAAGGCGACGTGGCCTTCCCCTTGCTGTTGATTGCTGAGTTTGAAAACAAACCTCTTGTGGCGGTTCCCTTCCCTGCATGGCATCGAAGTGTGAGCCGCAGACAGATGCAGGCTGGTGCGCTCTCGAAGCCCGCTGTGTTGGAAGTACTGGCCGCCAACGCTTCGGACAAAGTGATTTTGAGCCCGGAACACTACATCAAATGCTGGGTCGGCTATCTTCAGCCGGATCTCTTAGTACGCCTGCAGCCGCTGACGGATTACGAGGACTGCAGCTTCACTTTTGGTGTAGTAGAGGGCGGTTATGTCATCCCGGCGATAGAGAGCTTGGTGTCTGCGGCCAACGACCATTTTGCGTTCTTCTCTGCTGGCGATGGAGTGAGCGACCCCGGCGAAGCACTCGAGCCGGAGCTGATTCAGGGCGACGAAGGATCTGGGTCGGCAAGCTTGGGAGCGCGTGTCGATGCGATCGAAGCCACGTTGGAGACCCTCTCCGAGGGAATGCACCAATTGCTCACGAAAGTTCCGGGCGGCGAGCAAACCACTGCACCTCGTCAGCCTGCCCTTCGCAAGACGGCGGTCGTCAGGGATGTCAAGTCCAAAGACGCTCAACCGAAAGTTCATTTCCCTCACCTGGATGCAGGGGTAGTGGAGGCTGCTCTCCAAGCTGGCATACCCACTCGCAGTTTGGCCATGATGGAGAAACTGGTGACTCAGAATGTCAAGGCGAAGAGAGTTGTAGACGAGCGACCGAGTGTTGTTTTGGGCGACCCCCTGTCGGAAGAGGAGGAGGACGCAGGCGCTCAGCGTCTGGCTGCAGAAGAAGAGTCTGGTGGAGTTCCGGCGGACCCCATGGCCGCCACGCTTTCCAAGCTGACGAGCATTGTTTCCTTTTTAGCAGAGGACAAGAAGAGGGCGAAAGGAGCTTCGAAACTAGACTTGGCGCTGGACAGCGCACAGGGTTCATCTGCATCCGACGGGTTCAGCCTTGGGGCGGGCAAGAAGACGGCGGCAGCACGCAGAGCACTGCGGACAGCCTTGACCGATCATCCGGAGGAGATTCATGGCTGCATCGAGCGACTGATGTACGAAGACCTGTCCTCGCAGACGTTGGGGCCTGGTCAGCCACCTTGGGGTCTCAATGCCCGAGTGGGGCGCATTGTGCTTGGGCCTTTGCCGGAATCATCGATGCTATGGTCGCTGGAAAGATTGCTCTAGCGAGGGCTCGTGCTTGTTTGGCTCTGGTGCAACTGGATCAGGCAGCTATAGACAAGGGTTCATGGACGCTTGCAGCCGAGCTCAGTTTGGAGCAGATTCCTCCCATGTCGGTGCTTGCAACACACCAAGGTCCAAACGTGCAGGACGGGGAGAGCCCGTTCAGTCGCCTGCTAGATTCCCGCTGGGCAGAGGTGACCTTAGGCCATCTTCGAGATCAAGAGGAGTTTTTGACAAGGAGGAAGAACATCGGGAAGAACCTCGGCAAGACGGGCAAGGAAGAGTCAGAGGAGAGCATGAGCTGGGAGGCGAAGAGACGCGCAAAGGCCAAGGCGAAGACCAAAGCTGCTGCGGGATCCGAGAAGGGCCAGGATGCATGACGGGCCGAGACGGCCCTGTTGGTGGTGAGCTTGAGGACAACCTGTTTGAAAAGTTGCCCGGAGCCGGAGCTTCCACCATTTTTGTTCCTGGTTTTTTGAATTCGTTGCCAAGATTGCTGCTGAAGACCAAGAGTGGCTTTCAAGGTTTTTTGTCATCCATCGTACAGAGCCCTGCTAGAGACGATCTAGCGACATCAATGCCGGGTGCCTCTACATGGCCACTTCCGCTCCCTTACCCTGAGGTATTCAGACGTGCAGCTGGTTCCCGTGTTCCGAGGGCTCATTTGAAACGACTGACATGCCTCCAAGTGGCGGCGCTTGACTGGATGCTATTGGGTTGTCCTGCGGCAGCGCCGCTATTTTTGCGGCTTGGGAGAAGGCTGAAGGCTAAACAGTGGACAGTAGTGCGGCAGAATTCGTGACGGCAGCAGACATGGGCCGAGCAGCTGGCAAAGTTGAAGATTTCCAAGATAGCCTGGATGCGTTGGCCAGAGCAGCTGTTGCCTTGCATGGTGAGTTTGGAGGCTACTCTTTCATGAAGCCTAGCAGAGATGGATGCTCAGCAGAGTCACAACTTTTGCGTGCAGGCCGAGTGGTGGGAAGAGCTGACAGAAACCCGGTAGTCACGGCGAAGCCCTTGATTGCCAAAAGGTTGAACTTCCCGCCCGCACCTGCATTTGATCCGGTTCCTTTTTTCGACCCTTCTACAACAGAACGATATGTGCGTCCAATCTCACGAGGGTATCGCCCAGATGAAGTTTCAGAGCTTCCGCCGTTGGTGCAAGTACGGGCCAACAGTTCAGAGAAGGTGGCTTTGTATAGGAAGCTGGCTGACTCTGGCCGGCTCCGGCCAATTGACAGCAGCAGTTTTCATCATGGCTACTGCTCTGGCCTCTTTGCAGTGGTGAAAGATCAGCACAGAGACCGCATGATACTGGATGGCCGACCTGCAAATCTCCTTACTAAGGGACGGTGTAAAACCATGGCTTCGGGACTCGCCTTGAGTCACTTGCTGCTGGAAGATGACAAGATTCTGGTTTGCAGTGGGCTGGACCTGAAAGATTTTTTCTACCAGTTCACGGTTGGACAAGAGAGATGCGAACGTAATGCCCTCGCATCCCCTGTGAGCGTAAGAAGCGAAGGAAATCTTCGGCCCGGCTTTTTCTTGGCATGAGGACCCAGTCTGGGTTGGCTTATCCACGTTGGCCATGGGCGACACCATGGCCGTAGAGTTTGCACAAGCAGGCCATATTGGGTTGTGTCTTCAACATGGTGTAGCTGCTGTCGATGAGTTGATAACGCTGCATGGTTCTTTGCCCAGAGGGCTGCTCCAAGTGGGGGTTATAGTTGACGATTTGATCTTCTTAGAGCAGGTCATTCGCGAGCTCCCCCTAGATGAATGTGAACTGGAGTCTGATCGACGGGTGGCAAATGCTGAAGCGGCTTATAGGCGCGCTGGCTTGATTCACAACCCTGGCAAAACCTTCAAGAAGCAAGTTTGTGCTCGTTTTTGGGGGCTAGAGGTCGACGGTGACAAAGGGCTGATTAGGTCTTCTTCTTTGCGCTTTTGGCCGGTTGCTTTCATTACTATGAGAGTTGTTTCATTGGGGCTTGCTACTATTGGGTTGCTTGAAGCACTTGCAGGGTCTTGGGTTTCATTGTATGGTATTCGGAGGAGAATGTTTTGCTGCTTGGATGTCATCTTTGAGCCGTTGTGCGTAGAGGACCAAAAAGCTGTAGTGAGACTCTCCCCTGACATCATTGCAGAGCTCACTGTGCTGGTGGTGCTTGGACCCTTAGCTGCTGTGAATTTGCGGGCCACTTACTTGAACCAGGTGATAGCCACTGACGCGTCCGGCGATTGCATGGCGGTGGCCGCACCTTGCCCTGCAGCTGTGGTCAAAGAAGTGTCTCGGCATGCGCTGAAGAAAGGCATTTGGACGAAATTACTCCCCAGCTCTAGAGCTCGCGACCGAGTGCACGGCATCCTGGAGGTTGAAGATGAGGTGCCGGGTGAGCGCATCAGAGGGCACCCCTTGTGGAACTTGATGGCTCGTGCACTGGACTATGAGGTGCTCTGGAGAGAGTTTGTGTCTCGGCCCACCCACATCAACATACTAGGGCTTCGAGCCTATCTTCGAGAAGAGAAGAGGTTGGCGTCCAGACGCCAATCGGTTCGAGTCCTCTCAGGGCTTGACTCTCAAGTGGCGCTAGGGGCTCTGGTGAAGGGTCGATCGTCCAGCCGAGCACTGAATAATGAGATGCGTCGTTTTTTGGGGCCTGCTTTGGGCGCAGACATCTATAGCTTGCACATGTACTATGACACGGCATACAATCCTGCTGATGATCCCACTCGAGATAGACAAGTTCGGACCGCCGCAACTACCAAACCTCCTTGGTGGCGAGCAGTGGAGCAAGGGAGCGACTTTGAGTTGGGGCAATGGCTGCGACGGCATGGAACAACCGATGATTTTTCTGGCGTTAATCTTGGAGAGCTTTGCAGCCATGATGCCATCGATTTGCGCCCCCAGAGACTTGTCAGAAATGACCCTTTGCACCAGGAGGCGCCCGCCGTGCGTGCACGTCGATCGGCACAGTCGTCCTCACCTTCGAGTGATGAAGATTGCAGCTGCCCCTTTGGCGAAGCTGCGCTTGCAGTCCTGAGGTCTTTCAAGAAAAGCCAATTTGTTGTGACAGAAGGTGAGCCTGATTTCATGAAAGCTGGAGCACTGGATCTTTTTTCTGGAAGGGGCGGTGTAGCCCGACAGATGGTGAAGCTGGACGTGCCTTGGGTTTTGACTTTGGAAGCGATGCCCAAGTGAAGACCTGTTAGATCCTGAGCTCAGAAGCAAGATCGAATTGCTCATCCGCAGTGGAGCTGTCCTGTCCCTAGGGGCAGCACCTATATGCTCTAGTTTTTCTGTGGCAGTGACGCCCCCTGTCCGAAGCACGAGGTTTCCGAGAGGCATACCAGGCCTCAGAAAGGCCATGCGGCTGAAAGTTAGGCAGGGGAACTCACACAACGATTGGCTAGCTGACCTGATAGCACTGTGCGAGCAGTTTGGCGTCGTTTGGTGAGTGGAGAATGAATCCAGACACTTCATGGTGGTGGAGACAGCGGCGGTGGAGAAGGCACAGGGATTCTCGGAGCTTGACTTTGTTCCGCCTGTGCTTCTGTCGGTTCGGCTGTCGATGGAAGAAACCAACGCGCATAGCGACAAACACTGCCTTAGCTGGAGTGCGCATGTGGTGTCAATGTGCGCAACGTCATTTGCAACTGCGAGGCACCTGCAGCGCGAGGAAGCTTCCATGGACACAGATAGCCGAGCCCTATCCTAGAGGCTTGTGCCTAATGCTAGCGGCCGCAGTGTCCACTGCTGTCGGCTGGACCAAAAATGATCGTTTGAATGTCGCTGCCTGCTCAAGAACAAGCACTCTGAGGGCAGGAGAAGCTCGAAAGCCAGGACCTCGACCAAAGAGAAAGAGGCAATGCTTTTCACTAGAGGAAGTCAACATTGTTAGTGCAGCAACTTTGGTAATTCAAAGCCGGATGCTTCTGCAGTTTTTCAATGGGTGCGCCGAGGGGACTGAAGATTGCGAGTTCTTTTTGCTGTTCAACAAACTTCCTGTCCAGCACATGAGGGTCAGCGACTCTATGGCTATCAAATTGATTTCGATGATTTTTGGCAACCTCCCATACGAAGACATGCTTTACCCGCAGAGTCCATATCACTACCGTAAGAAGTGGGACCTCCTCCTTGAAGATCTCTTTCCCGAAAGAAGCCCACCTAACTCCGGGTGGACCATGAGGAGGAGCTGCGGTAACGCATTACAAAAATGGCCGGCCGATTGCTGACCTGCTGTGGCTAATGAGGCTGCGAAGTCAGACGACGTTCGAGTCGTACTAGCAAGAAGTTGCCGCTCTGAACGCTCTTGCTTTGTTGACACCTACCTCACGAGAATTCATTAGAGATGTGGCCCTGACCTTTAAGCTGCTGCACTTCGCTTCCAATTCCAGGGCCAAAGACAAACGCAGATTGCTTTAGTCTGCACTGGTCATGACGTGACCTGGACCGTGTGCCTGTAGAGTGGATGAGCTGACTCCTTTCCTTTTCAGCTCTGGCTACCCTTGGAA